GCACCTGGGAAAGACAGAAGCCATTAAGCTAAGCTACAGAACTAAATACAAAACAAGGTCATAGAGCTGTGCCAGACTGACCAGCAACAAGTCACCTGAATATGACTATGTATTGTTTCATGAGGAGAAGGTAAAGGCATATAATCATTTTATTGGAAAGTGGATCACAACTTAGATCTTTAAGGTCAAGAGTTTCCAACAATGAAACATCAGAAAAAGCAATCGTAGTTTAAAACTATAATAGTTTCCAACAATGAACCTTTTAAAATGGCTTCATACATCAATAAGGTTCATAATTGTCACTCAGGAATTCAATGGATATAAGTAAGTGCACAAATTCAAAATCATCAGACGCATTATAATTTGGTTGTGCTCCTGAAGCACCATACAAATATATGATTCTGTCATAAAAAGTTATTAGTTCTATATTTTCTGCTGTGAGGCAATATACACAAATGCAAAATCTTGGGGTAAGATTACAAGATTGAATGGCAGATGGTAACTCACAACCTATTATTGGAGAATGAAAGTTTTAACTTTTAATAAATGTTATCAATTACCAACATTTCCATGGCAGAGCTTGGAATTGGCAGGCAGATCCTTGTCAAGTTTGTGACGGAATGCCAAGAGAATATTAAAATGCACTCAGCACCCCCAAATCCAAATACATTTACAGCTACTAGATTTGTGTATGTGGAAATTAGCAAATCAACCAGGAATATATTGTCAGTGACAGCCCTCCTATATCAGACAAAAGGCCTAGGTAGCCCTGCATTCTCTGTCACATCATCGTGGATGATCAGATACATGCAGGAAAGTCACAAGTTCATCATTCCCTTCCACTCTTTAGCAACTGGTATTGATATGCTGCCTTGGCTTCAGACTAAATAAAGTAACATCAAGGTTAGTAGTCACCGACAGTCCTGCTCCCTTCTAAATTAGTAGCCAATGTCAGTATCACATCAGAAAGCACCAAATGCCGTACCTCATATATTGAATAAAGAAGTACTTCTTTTTCTTAGTCTCATGTTCAGCTTCAATAGATGTGAGAGGAAGATAAATTTCTCTGTCTTCAGTTTTCCAGTGTCATCCACAGTTAAATATATTGCATACATTCTAGCTATACTTCTATTCTGGTAGGATTTTGTTGTAGAATTTTCTGGAATAGCATTGTGCTATTGAAGCCACGTCTCTTCACCTAATCCTCATTTTAATTTTCAAACCATGTGGCAAAGCTCAGTTTTAAAGTCTCTACAAATACTTGTTTTTGTGCTTTGATACATTTTTCTTTTGACGAAATTCAGAAAATAGACTTCACTTACAAGCTGTGTTCCAGTTTTGAGTTATTTAAAGGATTTCCCCTTCCAGCTAGAAGTTGTGTAACACTGTGGAATTATGCAGGTGAAGCAAGCCTTGGGTTTTTTGCGGGGGGTGGGGTTGATCACTGTCATTTAACACATTGTTTTTGTTTTCATTAATCCATCTAATTCAAACCATATGTGCATGTTAATCACAGAGTTGTTAGGCTGAAAAGAGTATTATAATAGTTCCCAGGGTTAAACAACCCATTTGATGCCATTCAGTTTTGTTTCATTTTGTTTTTTGGACCAATATGCGTGACTAGTAACCAGAAGCAATTCAGAGAGACAGGAAATTACTACAGAGAGAGGTAAGGGAGAATGTTACACTCTAGATTTGCTTGTTAAATTAACACAGAAGCAGCATTCAGTTCCCAGAAAGCCCTAATATGACTGTCCATAATTGTAATTACAGCTCCGCTACTGCAGGTTAAGTATCACTATATGCCCATCTTTCCTGTTTGCTAAATCTCTATAAAACATAGAAAGGAGTGATTATTTTCCCCAATCTCATTTGTGGAAACAGACAGATACGTATATGTATATAAGTTCAGAAGGCAGAATAGAATAGGAGTGTCCTTTGTGTGTATATGTGTATATACACATGCATACATACATACATGCAAAGGACCTCTTTATGCTATTCTATACTTTAGCGTTACTGCTCTTTCAGCAAAGGAGTCCCAAAAGCTTATCAAATAAGAGGCCAGTTGAGAAATTCAGACAGCATAGCCATAAAAGTTAATTGAATCCAAAGCCTATTTGTGGAACATGGACTCTAATGAGGTAATAGATACTACAGGGCAGGCTCTCTGCTTTTCTATTAAAACTCCTTGCTTGACTGTTCTCTATGTGGAACAGTAGTTTTGATTCTGTGTAAGAGGAGAAGTACAATGGATAGCCCATGCTATAAAAATTGTTCTAGAATCCAGAGTATGTCAAGATCAAAAGCAGTGATATGTTCTGAAGGTGGCCTTACCTGCAACCACTAAAAGCCAATGTAATATATATGCAATATATTGTGTAAGCATGTGTCAAAATGATAATTAGCTTCTAATAGTCCGTACAGGACTAGACTAATAATCAGCCAATCATGCTTGTAATTTTCCTGGACTTATTCATTGTAAGAAATAAAATGGTTCTTCCATGTGAGCTCTGGAGTGGGGGGTGCTTTTCATTACTAATTTGATATTGAGATCAAGTATGGTAGCCTCTTCAGCCTGAAAAATACAGGTGGTCCTCATTTAATGACCATTTGTTCAGTGACTGTTTGAACTTACAGCAGGTCCTCATACTTACAGCCATTGCAGTGTCTCTGCAATCACATAATTGTGTTTTGTAACCTCTTCTGCTGGCTTCTGGGGCAAAGCAAAGTCAATGGGGAAGCCAGCAGAAAGACAAGTCATGGTCACATGAGGTCCTTGCTTAATGACCTGCGTGGTCCTTCCTTAATGACAGCAACTGGGATTTCTGGAACTGCAGTTGCTAAGCAGCATGGTCACATGGTTTTTCGACTTACAACTGCATCACTTAACAGTGGAGTTTCTGCTCCCAATTAGCATCATTAAGCGAGGACTACCTATAAGTGGGTCACAATCTTTATGCTATTTTATCATAAGAATGTACAAAGTTTCATTTACATCCATAATGATATTTGTCCATCTAAGTCACTACTTATAATGAAAATATGAACCTAGTATGTGGAAGTCGTACAGAAGGTTAACTGCATTCTAGAAACCCTTGACAAGGGATTAAAAATAAATCTGATATAATTTGCTTACATAAATCTTTGGTGTAACGATATTTGAAATAACGTTTATAATTACATACAATTCTGGGCACTACTGAAGGGGTGAAGAAAAGGTAAAATTCTTTGTGGGAGAGACCAACTCCCTAACAAGTTAAAAAATAGCATGTGAAGCCTTTTAGCTTCAAAGAAAGGTAAGCAGAGTTCCAACAGAAACATAAAATCATGGATATAAAACCAAGCTATATTGTGTTGTGGTTAAGGCATCAAACTAGAAACCAGATGCTGAGGGACCTTGGGCCAGTCACACTCTCTCAGCCTAGGAAGAAGGCAATGGCAAACCACTTCTAAAAAACCTTGCAAGAAAACTGCAGGGACTAGTCTAGGCAGTCACCAGAAGTCAAAACTGAGGCACAAAAACAGATATATGAATAATACTTCTTTATAGAATATAAACTGGGATTTACAGCCATCAATATAAAACATTTTAAATTCATTTTTGTAATTCTGTCAATGGCTACCAACCATGGTTTATGCATAATGGGATTGTAAGCTGCTGAAAGGTGGTCAGCAATTGGAACAACATATAAACCTAGTAAATAAAATGAATTAATCCAGCCATCTAACTAAATCCAAGGTAATATATCCCAAATGGCAATTTGTTAGGGATCAACAATGGAAAAAGGCTGACACCTTCATGTTTGTGAGCTTCGAAGATGCAGCTAGCCAGCCCCTGTATGACACAGAATACCTTTGAACTGATCCAGTAGTTTTTCCCCTAAGTTCTTAAATATTACCTTATGTAATATCTACTCTGACTCCCTGTAGGTTTTCTGGATTTTAGCTAAAGTTGTTTCCCTACACCTGCTACCTGATCCTTTATAGATGGAGCTGTCTGGAACTGATCCCAAGATCATCATCATGCATGGAAAGTATGCTCTTAACCATTGACCTATGTCCCTCCCATCCTTTACATTTCAGATTATGGGGGACTCTAATTATGTAAATTCATTTTGTCATTCATGAGCAGCTAGATATTTTAGCACTACAGGTTTAGACCTGCGGTGTAACTCTGTTAGGTAAGAATACTTAATTCTTCAAAGAAAAAAAAAGTAAGATGTTTAGCTGTGCTCATTACTCAGTCCTCCCAATTTATAGAACTATTTCTGGGTAATCAGACTGTACAGGACTTTTGAATTACCAATTGACTGATACATCAAAGTTTTTCTATTGTGTCATGATGCACATATACATGCATCAATTCCACTTATTTTAAATAAACACATGATATAAAATTTTTCATAATTGCAAATGTATTGCTTTGCATTCTATTATTAGAAAAATATGAGAAATTCTTTCCATATTACTTTTCATGAAGAAGAAAATGTACTATATGGACTTCAGAACTGTTGTATCATCATCAGATCATCACTGTGAAGGAAAACTGGACCATCTCTTCCACAGGCCAAGAAAAACTGAGATTTGGATAAAGATTGAAGTTATCAAGAAAGAAAGAACTAAGAAGGAATAAGAAAGCATCAAGATATATGAAGGCACAAACACATTTGACATCTTATATTCTGAAAGACTATTTGTCTCTGAAGTTTTAGTGTTAGTTTTCATGTCACATATCTGAGCAACTATAATACATCACTGAATGAGTGAAGGGGGAAAAAATGCTTATGGTTACTGAGAATAATAAAGCCTGGAGACTGTTGTATATAGAGGGTTGGGATTCAGTGGGACTGCCTTGTTAATAAACCACCATTGTATTTGTCTACAGTATTTGTTGTCTGTGACCTCTCCAGCTTTTCTGAGAAAAACTCTTTCTTCTGTATTTCCACGGTGAGATTGAGAAACCACAAAAAAGAGGTGGTAGTTTCCCCATCATTATTAGGTACATCTGATTGCCGGAGCTCAGCAGTTAAAGACATATATGTTCCTTGCAGGAGAAGGAAGGCTGACCTTAGTACTCATGGGACCTCCTTTGTACTTGCCAGCTGTGCTACTCTTGCTGCTTGGTGAGTGTCATGTAGCGTGGTTTCTTTTCATAGAATTCTAAGTTCAGCTTCACTATTTCAGGCCAATGTAAGTCTATTCTAGTATCAGTCAACCAGATATCTTTGTATACTCCCCTAAAGGTACAAAAGTTATTGTTTTTCCCCAATCTCCAGTTTCTGATATTCAGGGAATATCACATCTGTCTATAAAAGTTGCATTTAATGATCCTAAGAGGTAGTAATTAACTTATGTATACAGGTCTCTTTCCGTTTAAGATTAGTTATTTATTTTTTATTTATTTATCAAATTTATATGGCTGCCCAACTCACTAAAAAATGACTCTGGGCAGCGTACAATAAGACTATAAAACAGTTAACATATAAAAAACATTTAAAAAATAAAATTTATGTAGTGTTTGAAGAGATCTCTTCAGTTATTTCACAATTTTAGGAAAGCGCAGGCACCACTATTATCTGCACTTCATATCCTATCTATAATGGCTTATGTGTTTATGCTATCAGGATGAGTCTATACTCTTAATATTTAATGAATCCTATTCTTTGCTGATTATTGATCTTGTGCTTTCTTCTCTTAAATTAGTAGTAACCAAACAATGTTTTAGAGATGCTGAAGTTCACAATCAGATTAAGGATAGATTAAGTACATGCAGGTGGGACCATTTTAAAAAAATAAATAAATGGGAGACTGTTCTTTGACTTTAGGACTTATACTAGTTTTTGCATATTTCCCAGATCAATATAAGCAGAAAATGCATCAGTGCTTAGTGGCTCGATCAGAATGGATTCCTGGAAAAACAACAGACTGATTCAGGGCCTACAGATTGTTCATACCGTCTAAAATCTTTTACAGAAGTTGCTTCTTTTTCCAGTTCTGAAATTAAATTAAATTTACAATTACGGGAGATAAATCAAAGGTTTATTATGTGAGAACAGCCTCCAGGAGCTTACAAGTTGTTTTGATGTTTTAATAATTTTTAATAAGACCCAACAAAACAAATATAACACTAGGCCTAAAGATAAAGCTAAAAAAGTTAAATGACATGAGAGATGGTAAGTATAAAAAAGTAATTTTAACAATGCAATAAATGTTGTTTAATAAAACATCAGTCCTAGTCTTAGATCTAGGAGTTAGTCCTATGCAGCTGTTTAAGTGGCTTCAGCTGTTTTTAGTTACTATGAACCTTATTATATGCCACCACACACTAGCTGTGTTAACAATGTCTCAGGATTGGTGTGAAATAGTGGGAACTCTGCATATTGTTGGGTGGTAAATCTGTAATATTATTCAGAAGCAGAATAATTAGGACTCGGTTGAGTTCCCAATAAAACTGATAATAGAAGGGGGCGTGCTCATTAAATTCTAGCTGCCCTAACTCTCAGAACATCGTCGAAGTGGCCATGGTATCTACTTGTATCTACATACCTTTCAGCTGCCAAAGGAAGCCCTTTGCATAGGTTAGGGTGACAGCTCAGGACATCTGATTACATGAGATGTGCAGCTAGTGCCATAATATATGTCAAAATATCAGTTATGATAGCCAAACAAATCAATGTTTTTATTGATCTCATCCACTATTATGGGACTGAAGCCCTTGATCTTGAAACAATGTTGTGCTCCTGGCTTAAACAATGCAACAGGAAAAAGAATGCCATATTTTTATCACATTAAGGGCCACAAATATTTAAACATATTTTTCACAGTCAATTTTACAGAAATATATATGCAAAGTAGCTTGTGAGTTTTTTGTAATTAATGAGTTTCAGGTCCTGAAACATTTTCTCTTAGTCAATATAAATCAATCCAATTGTTCGTTCTTGTATGAAGCTTAGAATTTTTGTTGATTTTTTTGTTTCCTTGGAAATAAAACCAATCTTGATCGATATTAATGAGAATTGTCACATTCCTTATTCTGTATTACATATAACTATCCTAAAATGATGTACAGTACTTTGTTTTAATTCACTTTCCTTTTTTTTTTCCTGAATTAGAATGAATTTGTTTTCACAAAATTAATAAGAAGTGCTTGGTTGGATTCTAGAAAGAAACTATGCACATTGCCTTTCATAATAATTACAAATTTCTAGAATATTAGCTTTAATTACATTATTTCTTATAAATATTAATTTTTAAATCATTATTTCAGTATATCTTACTACTGGTTGTAAACATGATAACATCACATTTCAAAAGCTAAAATGTTGCTTGATTGTGCACAGAAAGAAACAGACCGAATATATGGAACAAAATTAAAGCACAATACAAATACATCAGAATAATAGGATTTATTTAATAAAACTAAAGCAGAATTCATAGTGTTTGTGAATTCTAATGCAAGATTTTTGAATATCAAAAATGTTCTATTTTGCATTTGATTATTACTGTCTTACAATAGTTGTTGGAAAGTGCAAACTGTCTTGCTCTCATCCACCACTTCAAGGCTCTGGACAACTTCTTTTTTATAATCTGGACTAATTCTACTACCTTTTAATGATTTGTATATAGACCTCTATGTGGGAGAAAGAATGGTGTCCATTCAGAAAGGACCTCTTTACCGAGTAAGAGGCACACACATCACTATTTGGTGTAACATCAGTGGCTACCAGAAGTCAATGGAGCAGAATTTTATGTGGTCCGTTTATCTGCCATCAGCTCCACACACACAGATGCAGATCATCAGCACTAGAGATAGCACCTACTCTTATGCTTTCTACTCCAGCCGTATCAGTAGTGGGGAAATCTACATCGAAAGGATCAAGGAAGATTCTGTCCTCCTGCATATCACAGATCTCAAGGAGAATGATGCTGGCACATATGAATGCTACACACCCAACACAGAAGACATTTACTTGGGGACCTATGGCGCCAAAACAAACCTCTCAGGTATGATGAAGCATGGGATCCCTGTTCACTTATAAGCCTACACAGCCCTTCACAACTCTTCTCTGCCAGATGTTTGATTTACTCTACTAGATTTTTCTAATCCACATGAAGAGAGAAATGTACAAAACTACTTGTGAGACACTATACATGTCTGCTTAGCTAGGTTCAGCTTAGTGATCAAAAGTCGTTCAAACCTATAACAGATGCACCAATTTTCAGATCAAACTAGGTAATTAGTTCCACTTCAGTGTCAACTTTATATGTGGGGTACTATCAATGACTTCTACAACCAATTACTATTTGTAGGACCCTATACATTGCTATCTGGCTAGTTTACAATCAGACTAGTGGTCAACACTTAATCACCTTTAACTAGACCCTCTAACTTTCAGACAAAGTTAAAGAATTAATTCTGTTTCAACTTTACCTGGGAAAAGACACAATGTGGGGGTGCCTTGGTCATACAATTGGAATGATTGATTGTACTTCATTGAAATTGACCAATAACTTCAATCTTGCCCTTTCTCCAAAAAGCCATGGTCACGCACAGGTTAGGCTGGAAGAAATTATCCCAAAGCCACATCCACAGTTCATTCAGAATTTGTATTAGAATTTGGATGTGACTCTTTTTTGTACAGGCTTAATATCATTGGAACTGCACAATACCAGAAGAGCTGAGTTATTGAACCAGATCAGTCATAGAAACACTAAATAGCATCTCCTATAAATGACCCAAAAGATATATAACCAGCTTCTGCACATGCAAGCAATGTGCTGTTCCAAATGCTTCAATGATTATACAGGTAATCCTTGCTTAATGATCATTTGTTTAGTGACCATTTGAAGTTACAGCAGCTCTGAATGAATGTTACTTATACATGGTCCCTGAAGTTACAGCTGTTGCAGTGCCCCCATGGTCACGTGATCAAAATTTGGGCACTTGGCAGCCTGCCCACACAACCTGAGGGACACTTCAGATCCCCCCACCCTCCCTCTCCCCTTTACAACCGCATTGCTTAGTGATGGAAATTCCAGTCCTATTTACTATCATAACCTAAGGACTACCTGTACTAAATCTGTGTTTGTAGGCCAGCGTTTCTCAACCTTGGCAACTTTAAGGCATGTGAACTTCAACTCCCAGAATTCCCCAGCCAGCAAAATATATTTTTTTATCTTTAAGTGCTCTTGAAGCAGATTTGTGGGGAGGGGGGATGTAAGAGATTTGAAAGGGAATTTAAAAATTTGAGAGAGAACAGACTAAAGAAAGTACAAAAAGGAAGGTGGTAAAAAAGGAAATAATCTAGAGAAAGCTGTAGAGGGAAAAGCAGCAGCCATTTTCTGTGCTCAAAAAGTATCATTTAGTCACTACTGTCAAATGACAGAATCTGAGATGTAAATTTGCACCCCACAGTTGTTCAGTGAGAATTCACTGAGTTCACTGAATTCACTGAGTTCAGTGAGAATTCAATTCCTGTCACAACCAACGGATCAACATTAGTTTGATCTGAAAAAAACCAAACCCTGCAGATGTGGGAAAAAATGCTAGGAAGAAAAAAAAAAGTTGTTCAGTGAGAAACTGCACCAAATGTTCACCTGTGTTTTGGCCTCCATTCACTCTTGTTTAACTACTTAGAAACAAACTTCCAAGTATATACCTCCTAGAGCTCATCTTGCTTCTTCCCCCTTTTCTCATTAAACAAAATCTACTCGTAACTGTTGGTTTTTCCCATGTTTCCTTTCAGAAAACATGAGGGCCAGAAGCACCAAGTATTATCTAAGCATGCTAGCATTTCCTCCTCATTCATCTCAACCACAGTTGTTTGAATCCAAGTGTCACAATCCCCTCAGGAACAGTATATTGTTATCCTTGTCTTTGGGTAGTACACCACAATGCCCTCTACAACAAGGGGTTTCTCACAGAAGGAATTTAAATTGCAATTTGTCTTCCTTTCTGTTTAGTAATTCCGGACACATTCTCTGTCACCATGAAGACACAGATTCTCATCCAGAATGAAGGAGATTCTTTAGATCTCATTTGCCAAGTATCAGTGGCAACAGCACAACACACCCACATTTCTGTTGCTTGGTATATTATACCAGAAGGAGGGGACAGAGATGCCCAGAAGATCCTTTCCCTGTCCAAAGATTGTGTTATGCTTCCAGGCCCTTCCTACATTGAGAGGTTCGCCTCAGGAGACATCAGGCTAGTGAAAATTGGGGACACTGAATATAAATTTTCCATTGTCAAACTTCAACATTCAGATCAAGGGGAAGTGTACTGTGAAGCAGTGGAGTGGATTCAAGATCCTGATGGAACTTGGAAAGATATTGTCCAGAAACAGACAAGTAGAATATCACTGACCGTTAAACGCCGAGGTAAACTTTTCTTAAACTAATTTATGTGCCTTTTATAGAAAATGTACAGTAGCAGCTGGTAAAGAATCTGTGGGAGAACTGTTTATGTGTCTCCCACAAACATTAGTTTATTTTATGATTCCAACTTTTCTATACTCACTGATAAAGTCAGGAAGTTTAAAAGGTGACTAAATTTTATAACAAAAAACTTATTTGCACATAGCTGAAGTGATTAAAAAAAGCCTTATGTATAAATTAACCTGGACTCTCCATTCACCAGATCATTAACTCCTCTCTACATAATCAGCTACTCAGTAGGGTCTGGTTTTTCTTAAAAAGAAAAATATTTGAAAAATTCTGTTGCTCTGGGGTCCTGTCATATCAAATTCAGGAAAATTATGAAAGAGAAAGTAAGCCTTATACACAAGAGAACATAATAGTTGTCATGGTCAGATACAGATATAAAAAACATCAGTTTAGGAGGACCAGGGAAGCAGATACTTGTGAAGCACATCCATATAATTCATCCTGTCATATCAAATTCAGGAAAATTATGAAAGAGAAAGTAAGCCTTATACACAAGAGAACATAATAGTTGTCATGGTCAGATACAGATATAAAAAACATCAGTTTAGGAGGACCAGGGAAGCAGATACTTGTGAAGCACATCCATATAATTCAAGCAGTGACTGAAAATAGTGGAGAAAGAATGCATGGTGATGTCTATTATTTCATTGTTGCATTTGCTAGAGCTGAGCTATTCCATGCCCTGCTCTGGACTGAATGTGATCCTGAGCCAAACTTGGGAGGAGGGGGGAGAAGAAAAGGAAAGCTAGTTGAGAATGTCTTGCTTGTTTTTAGACAGCTTTGCTGTGACACAGTTGACGTTTAGCATTAAGAAAAATCATACCAAATTTCAGCCCAAGATGGAAAGAACATCAAATCCATAACCAAACAGACAGTGGCTTCTATATCTATGCACTGATGTTGATGACTTCTGTAGCTCACATCAAATTTTATACTAGGGTGAAAGGGAGGCCTAGATAATGGCCTTTTTTTTTTTTTTAACAATTTATTTGTATAATGGTGGGCTATGAGTTCCCCTGATTGACTTCTGTGATAAAATTCTCTGTCTTGTGACATCAGGGTAGCAATACATCAGTTTTGTATATTCGTGCATTTAGTGTATTTATCAACATTCTAGTTTTGAAATATAAAGTGCTTAAAGCACTATATACACTTAACGAAATGCTTTTTAATGCATTTTAATGCATTTCTGGATTGGAACAACACAGTTTAAAGTTACATATAAAAAGATTCAACAAATATTTCTCAATGGAAAACAATTATGCAGGATTTCTGTTCTGTGTTATTGATGAACCAGGTTCAGTATGATGATAATTTTGGGGAGGTAAGCAATAAATGAGTGTTGCTATTAGCTGTAGCATCTAGAACTATAGATGCCTTTCCTCCCAACATACTGGAAAGTTGATGGAAAAATGCTTCAGAAATACATCTTTGACAAGAATATATTCCTCTTTTTATGCTGACAATTAACACTGATATGAGAAAACAAAGGCACTGTTTTATTCCATTATTCTATTCCATTTTGATTTGTTGCAGAAGTTTAGAGGATTTATTCATCTATAATTCCCACATCAGATCATTTTAATATAATCTGTTCATTTCTTCTTTATTTCACCTATCCAACCCTCATTCTATATATCAAAAGACACAGTGGGCTAAATCAGGCTATGCATCCCTCATGAAACACTCAGTCATCATGCTCAATTTGGAGGAAAGTTAACTCTGCTTCTTGGACTGGAATTAATGTCATCATATGCCCAATATACACAACTTCACTGGCTGTGCCAGAAAAGGACAATGTGCAGCTCCCCCGATGTGCTTGAATTCATTCCCATGAGTCTTAGCGGGCATGGCCAGTGGTGAGGAATCCTGAGAGCTACAGTCCTACCATACCTGAGGGACCCTAAGTTCCTTACCCGTGCACTAGGACTAAGTGACGATTTCAGTGTTTCTAGGAAGACCATGGGGGTAAGGATGGGATGGGATGGGATGGGATGGGTGCTTTTAGCAGCAGTGAACAAATGCTTATCTTGTTGTCCAGTATTTCATAAAGCATTTTAGCCCCTTCATTTTCCTTGGGCCATCCATACTGAAAATGTTTGCAATGGATGTATCACTAGATAAATATCCAGGGGTGGCCAAATGTATTTTGCTGAAACAAAGTAGAAAATAGTTAGTCCTCAAGATACAAATTATGCTTCATGGTACTTAAAATCATCTACATTATCTTGGTATATTACACTGAGAAAACCCACAGATACTTCTCCCATACCTGGCAGAGAGAGGGAAAACAAAAACAAAAAACAAAGCAACTTATGAATGATTTAATAACACTCCAACAAGCTGCCAAATTGCCTGTGATCTGAGACAACTCCTTCATTCAACTTCATGGTTCAGTCAGTTGAACTTGTATGTTCACTGTGTGTATTTATTTTTATTTCTGCAGATAAAAAATTGAATATGAATAAACCTGCTGTCAAAGATTCGGCTCCGAATGGAAAAGAATGCCCCTTAAGCTGCTCGGTGGAAACCCAAAATATCCATAGTTCTGTGTGGGTTGGCTCCATCATGATGGGGTGGTGGTTAGTACTGATCATTACTTGGCCTTATCCTTCCAAAATTACAGTGAGGCAAGAGCTAGCATGAGAAATCTTCTAGGGCAGCAACAAAGCAACGACAAGCATATTCTTGTGATAAGTCAGGTGGAACTGACAGACAAAGGCACATAGAGCTGTAAGGCTTCTGAAACAGAAAATACCATCCATCCGGCATCAGTATAAATATGAAGTCTTAAGGTCAATCAAGCTAGGTTATTTTTTTCTATACATAATACAGAGTTGGGAGTGACTGATAAAATGTGGCTTTTGCCATCAAGTGTAAAACTAACGTTCATAACTGATAGATTGTAGCCTGCTGTTATGTGGGGCAAATGTATTCATTCAAAATTTGCCAGAGCCGCTCACATTCTGTAGGCAAAATCACTCTCAGACGTTTTTATGAATTTAAATGAATTTAAGAATTGTGAGAATATATACAATAAATAAATAAATGGATGGATGGAAATAACTGTGCAAATTTATTTTAAAATGGTGGGTAAAAATAAAGCAGATTGCACCAAAACAAGAACAACAAGTGTCCCAAAGCAAGGGAATGGATTATGGGCTTTGGAATAAGGAGAAAAAGCCTCTAACTTCTGAATATCATACATTAAACCAAACACAGTTGCATACAAAATAAAGGCTAGCACAACCTTAATGTTAATTTTTTAACATTTAATTTTTATAATTAATTATAATTATAATTATTAATAAAATTAATTTAATTTTAATATTCAACTTAATGGTACGAAGTTAAATATGACATCTTTCTGAAAATTTAAAAGCATACTTACTACTTATGCATACTTTCTTGAATGCATATTTTAAGATGTTACATATAATTTTGTTCTATGTAGAGGTTATTTCAGCTTCTGTTCACTTAGGGATTCATTGAAATGTTCGATATCACCAGCAGACCTGAACTTTTACATGCAACTCTAAGTCCTTTCAACTGCAAAATAATCTGGATGTGTTGACTAGGCTGCAACCAAAGTCAACCATCACAGTATAAGAAAGAACTATCAGTATTCTCAGAAGGATTCAAAACCAGAAGTATAAATACTGTGGCTTGGTGGTGGGGAGTATACTAAATGGACACGTATACATAGCCATGCACACAATACATTTCAACAAAGACTCAGCAATGACAACAGAATATTAAGTGATTGGGGAGAAGAGAGGGCATGAAAAGATGGCAGTTATCAAACCATTGCACTAATTACTCATCCGAACATAGTATAGTTTTGTTAAAATTTTACACAAGGCAGCTTTCAGAAAATGCAGAAGTATGTGGGATCAGACAGCTAATACAAGAAAGATAATGGGGAAGGCAAGTGAAAATAAGGAAGTTTACCTTTGTTTTATTAGCTACAGCAAAGCCCTTAGTTGTGCAGACCATGCCAGTGGAAAATTTATTAAAGCTAACAAATATGCCAGAACATTTGATTATTCTTTTATTCTTATTATTTTTAAAAATGAACAATAAGTTACTGTAAAGCACAATTTGAAGAAACGGAATGGTTGACAATTGTAAAGATGCATGTTGCCCCATTATGAAAGAGTAAAAGAAATACCTGAACCAAAACCTCCAAACTACCAAGGCCCCTGAACTGAAGTAAGCCACCTTAATAGCTTGCTTAGGCTTTTGTGGATGCTGACTCATGAATTATCTTAAATCAGCACTTCTCTTTTTAAATGAGAACTAAGTAGTGACTAACCACAAAAGTTGACTAACCTGTATTTCATTAATGGTGTACTCTCATTATAAGTGGAAAATCTAACCCAAGTTATAAAAAATAAGATGATTGGCATTTGACATCATTACTGGTCAGCATTTATTATACAACTATATAAAGGTTATTTGTACCCTCCTTAAGTGGACAGAACCTCATGGTCTGTCCCCAGTGCTGTTGGTATAAACTTGGGTCAAGCAGACTGTGTGGTCTGCACTTGTAAATTGGGTCATGGGGAATTGTTCTCCTTCAATTACCTGTTTAAAGTATACAACAGTGCATTATCAGCCTGGCAAGATTTCAAGAGACTATGGTTGGAATCAAAATAGGACCACTAATAATTTGAGATATGGTGATAATACCACTTTGTTAGCCAAAAGAAGACTTCATTAGGAAAGTAAAAATGGAAAATCCTGATTAATGTTAAATAATAAGAAAACAAAGGTAATGCTAACCAGCATGCTTAGTGAACTTAAGTATGCTGGTTAGCATTACAGGGTACTAGATTAATTCTAGGAAGCAAGGTGGTAATAAACTTGGACAAGAACTTGAAGGCTATGGATATTGTTATAATAGCAAAAATCAGAATAGTTAAAGCATATACAGCTGTGAAAACAGGACATTGAGAAAGAGCAATAGAAATAGACTTCTTCAAATTATGGTTGCACAGATTCTTGCTGAAAGTAACACAGAACACAAGAAAAACAACCCATCCTGAACCAAATAGCTTCCTTGAGGTGATAATCAGCAAACAGAAACTCTGTTACTTTAGATGTATGATGCAAATGGATGATGTCCTGGAAAAAATGCTTGGTAAGACTGAGGGAGGTAAAAGATGATGACAATAATGGATAAGATAAATAAACAAGTTCAAAGAAATTATAGGCCTGTCCTTGGAAGAGCTGTAAGTTGGTATGAGTAGATGTAGATGGTAAACATTTGTAATGTAATTTCCAAGGGGGCAAGCCTTACATGATGACATATAATGAATTCACTCACTCACTCACTTAGAAATAAATGACCACTTTCTGCAGATATTTGACCAGAGAAAGACTAATAGAGGTGAATATGTGTAGCTCAGGGTTGAACTGTGGAGTCCTTGGGGTTCTCTGAGTTTG